CAATTGCCCCAGGATTAAGCTAATGGGATCACCTCCCATTTCTAACTTAATCAAAGTGCTAACTACGATTATTTCCTAAGACATATTCTGCAGCTTGCTTCGGTGCGTCACTCGCTTCTTCCGGCGAGTTTCCGGCGAACTTCCGTCGATCATCCGATGAACCCTCGGTGATGCTCCTGCGGACTTTCGGCAAACTCCTAGACTGCGACGATCCACTTGGCAAGTTCCGACGAGCTCCTTTGGCAAGCTTCTGGACTTCTCGGATTTGTTCCCGCAGAACCTTCGACGACTGTCCGAACTTCCGTCGAGCTCTCGAACTCCCAACGTGATCATTGTCATGACTCCGGCGTAACTCCTGCTGCATGTCTTACTTTCATCGTAGTTAATCCTGCACACTTATCTCAACACATACATTAGACAACAAATGACAATTGACTTCATCATCAAAATCCGAGATTCAACATCATGTATGATATACCTATAGTGATGATTGATTTATTTTTGGTATCATGCATGAAGTAAGAATGAAATTTAAGGTTTTAAAATTATGTATATTTTAATTTAAAATTATAATAATATACAAACATATTGAAAAAGGATTCATACTTTAACTTTGTCATGATTTGAAAATTGATATAAAGAGGAAAGAATTATAATATTGTATTCTTCCCTTCATTTTGACAATAACAGAAAAATTACTAGCTCAAGATACAAAATTTGGGAACTTTCACATTGTAAAAGAAGCAAAAATTTGCTAGCTTATAAATTACAAGGAGAAAAACTTTTAAGGAGGCAAAAATGCTAGCTTACACTTCTTAAAAGAGAAGAAAGAAAATTACTAGCTTGCATGATGATAAAACTTGATATTATGTTTATAATGCAATGATTTAAAATTATATATCTCTAGCACTTAATAGTTGCACTTCTCCTTTTTGTTGATGACAAAGGGGGAGAAGTATGTTGATTTTATGCATGATTTTATGATGATATGTTATAAATTTTCATTGCCTTGACTTGAATTCAAGATTCTATCAATATGACATATTGATAGGGGGAACTACATCATCATAAAAAAGGAGGAGATTATTGAATCTCATATTTTGATGATAAAACGAATTGAGAGTATTTATGATTTAATCTATGTTTTGAGTGATGCAAGAAGCTTCGATCAGACAATTAAAGCACGAATAATCATGTTGGGCCGGAGAAAAACATGTCAGAAGATTGGAAGTCGAGTCAAAGGATCGATCGATGTATCAACAGAAAGCTTCGAGCCATGAGTTTGGATATCAGGCCAAGAAGAGCAGAAATTACACTAAGGAAATTGGAGTTATGGAGGTCAACGAACCGATAAGGCAATAGGCCGCAAGAGAGGACAATGCACCGAAGAATTGGACGAAGTATCGATGAACCAATGATATACTAGAAAATAGTTGATTCAAGCTTTGTAATAATTATATAGATCGAAGAAGATTTTAAGTGTACAGGATTAACTATAATAAAGATCAAGGCATAAATCAAAATGAAGTCCCGAAGTCAAGAACGAGATTTCGTTGGGAGTTCGAGAGTTCGTCGGAAGTCCGGACATTCATTAGAAGTTCCACTAGAATTGACTGAGAAGTCCAAGAGCTAGCCAAAGAAGCTCATCAAAACTTGCCAAGAAGATTATTGTGAAGTCTAGGTGCTTCCCAGAAGTCCGCCAGAACATTACCGAGAGGTCGTCGGAAGTTCGCTGAAAGATCGTCGAAAGCTCGCCGGAAGAAACCTAGACTTACGGACTTATTTAGCTTAGTAAATGTCTAAAAATTTATATTTAGCACATAATTAGGTTGGAATTGAGCCAACTCAATTAAGGGTCAATTGGGCCCAAGTTTGGGTTGGGTCAAGTAAAAGTCCCAAATAGTGACCCAACAGGTGGCATTGTCGTGGCACAATCTCGAGACTATGTCAGGCGATGGTATCGCCTAGACACAGTCTTCGAAACGGTGGTACCACCAAACTGGGTGGTGGTACCATCTAGTATCAGTGCTGTAGGTGATGGTACCACCCAACACAAGCGGTGGTATTGCCAGGACTCGAAAAATCTAGGATGAGACTCTTTTAGGCTCTAAGTTTGAATCAACTTGAGGCCTATAAATGCCCATCTCATCCTTGGTTAACAAACACAAGAATTGAGAGGAAAAAAGTAGAAAAATGCTATTGTAATCTTGTGAGAACTTCTCTCAAAAGCTCTAAGTGTTAGTGTAGTTTAAGAGAAGAGTAAGTGGGGGTATAAAGGTTCTCTCCTAAGCTTACAAAAAGAGAATAGAGTTGTAAAGAGGTGATTGGTCTTTGCCTATTGAAGGAAGACCATTAGTGGATGTCGGTGGTCTCGACGGAAGAGATATCGGTAGAGTAGATGTAGGTTACGATGACTGAACTACTATAAAATAGTTTACATTTCTGTTTTACTGTTTATCTTTATTGCAAACCGCTTTACTTCCTGATTACTTTTATTGCACACCCTTCCGAACGTATTTTAAGTTAACATCTTTCCAAAATCGGTTTTAACGAACGAAAGATTTTTGAACCGATGACGTTTTTATCCACTGCACTAATTCACCCCCTAGTGTCGACTCGTTCCTAACAACATCCAGGTAATATATGATAAAATGCTAATAATAATAAGCAGAGAGATCGTCAGATCATATCACAGGTGTCATCACTCACGTGATTAGCTTGTACAATATATATAACTAACACAAAATATTATAAATAATTTTAAATTTGGATGAGAAAAAATGATTTCTTAAAAGGTATTTTTAGAATATTAAAAATTAAAAATAAGAGGTGATTGTTTGAGAATTTTGAAAAGGGATACCACATGCCAAAACAAAAAAAAGATGGTATTTTCTCAAGTAATCATCGAACATTCGGCATAAAATTTGATGGCTAGAATATTATGTTAAGGACATAAATTTTTATACCTAAAATATTATTTTAGTGCAGTAGAAACAGTTATCAATTTTTAAAAACCTATAGCATTATATTTTTATCATATGACACCTTTTACCAGGAGATATATTTTTAAAAAATCTCAATAATACCTTTGAATTTCATAAGATGGTTTAGTCCAATTTAGACTCATTTCAAATTAAGTCAAGTCTGGTCACAATGAATTGAGTTGAACTTTGTTAAATTTTTGAATGAGTGTCACCCAAGTATAACATGAGTGTAACTCGAATATAATTAAGAAATTTTTATCACATCAATTAAAATTTCTTGAGAAGTACCGATGTATGATTCTAAAATATTTAGTATCTTTTTTTTTTTTAATTTTTTTATGATTTTAAAGTGAATAAATTTTTAAACATGATATTTTTGGGAATGGGTGATCGATTATAATTTATTAAATTTTTATCAAATCTATCCAAACTTCTTCAGAACTATTAAGGTAAGATAATAACATGTTTAGTATTATTTTTTATTTTTTCATGAATTTAGGACATTTAATTTTGAAATATAATATTTTTGGGTTAAATGTATGATCAAGTGTAACTCTTTGAATTTTAACTAAATCTACATAAATATTTTTGGAATTACTAAGGTGAGATGCTAATATATTTAGTATTAATTTTTTACTTTTTAAATGAATTACTAATGATTAATTTTTAAAATAAAATATTTTATAAAAATTAATATATTTTTAATATGTTATGTGAATAATTGTAACCGGAGTGTAACAGTTAATTTAGCTAAAATATGAGAAGGATGAGGCAAGTATGGGTACCCATGGGGACATGTCTTTCATGCGGATAAGGATGAGGATGAGAAACATTTTATATTACCCACATAAATATGAGACATAAACAATTCTTCACTTTATACTGATTCTTGTACCTCCAACTCATTAAGAGCTAGTTTTTCGTTATTCAAATTAGATTGAGTAAACCTTGATTAAATCGGTTATGATTTAATTAATAATAATTTGATTCAATTGAATTAAATGAAATATCTTCTTATTTAATAATAGCAACTCCTCACCTAATCCTTAATCATAGGCAGCATCGTCACAATTATTTGAATTTATCTTTATCAATCTTCCTCTTCTCTCCATTAATAGATAAATGATAATTTTTTGGGTGATCGACAACTGCAAACGATAAATAGTGAATGATGACGATATTCTTTTATATTCTTTTGTCTTTTTTTTTCTTCTCTTCCTATCACACACTCTTCTTTCTTTCCTGCATCCTTACTCGTTACGACCCCTCTCGTCCACCCCATGACTTCGCCTCATCGGCACATCTCTCATCCCCTTCCATTGTATCTTTCCTCGATCCACTTTCATCTTTTCATATCTCTCTTATGAGTTATGATTTTTTATTTATATTTTTATATTTTTATATTTTATTATATATATATTTAAATATTATTAGCTAGATTTGATAATAATTTTATTTTTAAATAAATAATTTTTTTTAATTAAATAGGATATAAAGAATTCGTAGGTTACTAGCCCCTGTTATATTTAAATAGGGAATGTGATAGGGATGAGAGATGAGGGTTGAGATGAGGACAAACATGATGGAAGCATTTTCTATCCCACTGTTGACATTCTTAAGGAGGAGGATGTGACGAAGGTGGATAAGGGAGAGGGAGAGAAGGCAAAAGTGAAATTGGAGGAGGATGAAGAGAGAAGAGGAGAAAATCAAGAGTGAAAATGAGAAGGCGAAAGCCGAAGGAGACAAAGTAAATATGGTAATTTAAAAAATTCACGGATAATCTAGGTTTATTTAAATTAAATTAAATAGTTAATGTTTACTTAGATCATTTTGCTCCGATTCATTTTAAAAAAATTAATTCAGTTCTGGTGCATAGGGTAAAAACTAGATCTTTTTGGTAAATTATCTAAAAATAATTCAAATGATATAAAATAAAATAGTTTGTTTTATTTTTTGATTTAGAACTTATTAATATCGTAATATTCGTGTCCATCTTAACGTTCCGTCTCCTTGTGCTGCATTGAAGCGGCGTTTCTGAGATTCCCAAAACCCCAACCTTCGGCGCTTTTAGACACGTTTCTCTTCTTTTCTCTCCTTGCCCGTTTCTCTCTCTCTCTCATGAGGCGATCCCACTATCTCCTCCGCCCCGCTTTCTCGAGCGCATGGCCTCCCTCCCTCCGTCCGCCATGTATCCGTCCAGTCGCTTCTGCCCACCTCTCTACCGCATCGGCCCCCCACCAGCCCACCGAGCGGGTCTCCGCCATCGTCGACGAGATCTCCCGCCTTTCCCTCCTCGAGGTCGCCGATCTCACGGAGGCCCTCCGGACCCGGCTGGGCGTCGAGCAGATGCCGGTCATGGCCATCATGACCCCCGGCATGGGTGCCGCCGCCGGCTTCCCTGGACCCGCCGGTGCCGCCGGTGCGGCGCCTGAGGAGAAGGAGGAGAAGACGGCGTTCGATCTGAAGCTGGAGAGCTTCGACGCGGCCGCCAAGATCAAGATCATCAAGGAAGTGAGGACCTTCACGGACCTGGGGCTGAAGGAGGCCAAGGAGCTCGTGGAAAAGGCCCCAGCCGTACTGAAGAAGGGGGTGCCGAAGGAGGATGCGGAGAAGATCGTGGAGAAGATGAAGGAGATAGGTGCTAAAGTTGTTTTGGAATGAAGTGGTTGTTAGGTAGGATCTCCTTCTCTGTTACACAATTTTTTACCTAATCTGCTAAATTTTGGGATCAAGAAGATAAATGGGTGGAATGGATTCTTCATTCGGTTAAAGCTCATTCCCTACCTGAACATTTATTTGATGTAAGCTACGCCAACTTATTTTGCAATATCATCCCTTCTATTCTATGGAAATGACTGAGTTTTGGGGTGAAAAAAGCAAAGTTAGACAAGGAATTGTTTCTTCTTGTCTTGTGCATCTACAATGAAACATGTGTTCGGTGAAAAGTAGGCACCTTAATTTGTTGTGATATTATCTCTTAGACCAATGGATTCTTGTAATCACGCCTGCAAAATTTAAATGAATGGTATGATTCTTGTACGTTTTTGTGCTTAGTTTTTTACTGAAACAGGCATTGGGCAGCAACAACTTTACATTAGTCTCCTTGTATTATTACCAACTGTTCACTGAATTGATAACTAAATAGTCACTGAAATAATGTTATAGGGAACTTGTGTGTCTATATGGAAACTGAAAACACATTGTTCCTGAAGAAGCATGTCAAAGGGATCTGTTGTGCCAGTTCATAACTGAGTGATGATACATGTAGGCGACAATAATATTGGATAAGAACTAAATCAACTTTCTTACCTTTTCTTTTTGTCATGACTTTATTCTACTACTATATGATTCCTGGAACATGAAAGATATGAGCTTTGTTCATGGAATTTCTTGTTTAATTGCCACAAGATTTTATGTAGGTTTGATTAGGGGCATGTATTTGTAGATTTTATACACCACACTAGATCTTAACAATTTGAGTTGTAATTTGTGTGCAAAATTAATTAAAATCTGAAGTCAACTCTTGATTTTTAATTTAAATTTGTTTAGGTTATCAGCAAATTTGAGTTACTTGTTATGTGCACATCTTAAAGTGCCATGTAATTCTGTTGGAAAGAGATATTGAACTGGATGTTCTCCATGTTCAGATGCATGAATTGTTTGATTTCCATACTATTGTTTTAGCTTTTAAGCATATCCTGTGAACTTATTGCAGTCCAAGATCAATTGCATTTTAATTTCACACTATTGTTGTAAGTTCATGCTATTAGCAGTGAAGAAAACAAGTGACTTATTGATCATGTTGCTAAATTAATGCTGGAGTAGTTTCCACAGGTAAAGAGGAAGGAAAAACTGGTTATAGAAGAGTGATAAGGAAGATAACGATTAAAGCGGAAAAAGAGGAGAAGTGAAAGCAGTGTTTTCTTTTTTTTATTTTTATAATATCAGGCATGTCACATTTTTTAATCTCCTAACAGTTCCCATAACTTCTGCTGCACTATAATCATTACTGATCAAGGGTCCTTTTTATCACGTAGTCAACCCTGATTTTTTGACAAAATTGAGTATATGTAAGATTTTTTTTCATCAAAGTATTTTGGACTAGTGGATAGAAACATATGATGTATCCTTTGTGTACCCCTAAACTATCTCTATAGATGATATCATAAGAGTTTAGATGATAGAAAACTTATCTTAAATCTATTATAAATCAGGTCTTGTGTAGATGAAAATTAAACTACACCTAATCTAAACCTAGTTGCATCAAATCATGTCAGATATACACCATCACATCCTTGTGATAAATCTGACAATATTTGTGCTGTATAAATTGCTCCATCTCTTGGAGTTTTCTTTCATAAATTCATAAGAGGAGCCATTTCACTATCTAGACATTATTAGATGTTGTCCAGTCTGCTTTTATTTCTAATAATAAATGCTTTAATTATTTGATATACGGTAGGATTCAAGGTTTTAAATCTCAGTCTGGTACCAATTTTGATAATCTACCACACCAGTATGGTTCTAGTGTACTGGATGGTATCCTGACTGGTATTGTTTGGTATTGTCAGAAAAACCAACAAAAATACAATATTGACTAGTGTTGGACCATATGATTCGAGACTGGTACTCTGTTGGACTGATAAAATACCAACCGGTACACACTGCACTGACTGGTATTTGAAATCTTGGTAGTATTCTTTAATATGTGGTATAAATGATTTTGAAAAATAATTTATGATATCTTGATGATTGACTCTACACGCATTGGAATTTTGATGAATGCTGTTGTACATCAACTCTTTTTCTGTTTCTAATTGTTCTTCCCCGATCCACTCCAAAAAAAAATGTGCAAGTTGTGCAGCTAGTTGAAATAGGTTCAACCAGAGAACATGTGGAGGTGAATTATCACAAGAACCATGACATGATCTGATTCAGCTGATTAAGTTTGGATGATCACTATCAGTGCGATCAAGATTTGGACGATGACTACCGTTGCTCACATATCTAATCTGATGCTGAATGATGGAAAATTAATGACAAATCATGAGGGAAAGATTTATTTATGCTATTAAAGATACAAATCCTCCCTAAAAAATACATACAATTTTGTGACCAAACAAGGCTCTTTCAGGTTTTCAAGAAAATCATTGACTATTGAAAAGTATCTGATTATTAGTTCTTAAAGGACATGTTGTTGTGTCATGAACATATGAACTGTTAATTGAGAAACTGAATGTCTAAGTGCATGGAATTATTACATGCAATGAATCAGTTTGTACAAGAAATTGGTCTGGAAAATTAGTTAGTGAAATGTTGTAGGTATCTCAGGTAAAGCTAGAGTGTGTATCAACCAAGGATCACAATACCGAATGATACTGCTCGTACTGTGGCCTTCGATGTCTTCGCCGAACACCGTAGATAAGGAGATCGCTTTCTTCTCCTCATTTGACATGACGAGGAGAAGAAAAGGAGGCGACGTCGTCGAGGCAGCGTACGCCTCTTTTTTTTATTATATATATATATATATATATATATATACACATATACGTACCGAGTGGTACGCTATGAGTGTACCATACTGCTCGGTACACTGGTATCATACCGTATCGAGCTTTGCTCGATACGCCGATATGATACGAAATTATGAACCTTGGTATCAACCATTGAAGAACATTTGACTCATAACTTCTAAGTGGCATTCTTCTGTTTCATGGAAGAACTAGTATCCTAAAAAATCCAGCAATGGCATGTTATATCATGAGAACTACTAACATCAGATGAATGAGGTTGCATGAGAATTGGTATTGAAAATATTTAAAAGGTTGGAGGTGCTGATATTAATTCTTGACAAAGGGTATCATGGCTGCTGCTGATGTTGTTCATAATATTAGCTGTTGAGATTAATGCCTAGAATGATGGGCTGTTCCTTCATAGAGCAATACAGTCACTTTTGGAATTTAATCTAGACATATTGATAATGAGGGTTGGCTAGTGAGGCATTAACGTGTGTGAATTTATTAGATTATCCTATGAATGTTTAATATGACTATTTATTAGAGGTGCACTATGCATTTGGCATTTGTTACAAAGGTGCTATCTTATTGATTTTCTAAAGACTCTTGCCATATGCTTGCCTTGTGGAGCCCTTTTTTTTTTGAAGCAATAAAAAAAATCTGATTGCTTTCTACATCTGAGGCATTTCTTAAATTTATTAGGTTCATTATTTTAAATTTTTTTTACTCTGGATATACTTGAGATGCGCACTAGTAAATGTTTTGTCTGACCTTCTGAAATGTTTTTGTTTTTGAGAAGCTGAAACCCTGTTCCTGCATGAGATATAGGATCCTTACAGTACCTTTCTTGTATGCCGCACCAGATTAGCGTTTATTTCTCAACATTTGCCCGATACTGTCTTTCTGGGTTCAAAGTTCACCAAGGTGATTTAAAAGCATGATTGCTTATTTATTAATATGTTATCAATAGTCATACAAATCAATTTATTTTTATTAATTTATTCAATGATACTAAGCTGAGTAATATTGGTCTAGTCCCCGATATACCGCTGATCCAATGACTTGCCGGTATTGGGTTGATATTTAGATCTATGGTCAAGATTTGCTTTATGATGCACAGAATTGCTTGGAGACAATTAACAGTATGTAAAGTGTGATTCCCTGTTTAATCTTGCACTGGTTTGTTTTCAAGAATTGGTGAGTTGATTACAGGAACTTGGTCTTGAGCATTTCAGGTATTGCAATCAAAGGTTAAATATATCCAAGTAACTAATTCGTGTCCTGGTATTGTTAGATGACATTAAAGGGGTTATTTGACAAAAATTCATGGACATTTTTCAGTGGCTAATTCGTGTATTATGAATGATTATACAATCAAAGTAGTAGTGATAGTCAAAGTGGATCCTAGTTAAACAGTGTTTCTTTTGTTGTGTTAATTGGGGTACTAGGTTCGGATCATGGTTTATATAGGAGTCCTACAGGCTAGTGAAACCTTTAAGGTTCGAAGCATGAGTGCATGCCAACAGCATGCTGGTGGTGCATTGACATTGGACAGTTTTGTGCTGAAATATTGTTGGCATTTGACCAGCTTGTGACTGGAGATAAAAAAAGCTTTGACCTAAGATTCAATGAGTTTGTACCTACTGTCATAAGTGGTAAATTGATGCTATTGTATTAAAACTAAGTTTTGGTTAAACCGCATTCAGCCATTGGTCTTGTCTTGTGACTACTACTCAATTTTAAGGTCTTTTTAGAAGAATGGCACAAATCAACTAGTCAAGTGAGACTGCCAACCTGTGGATGTAGTTTCAACTAACTAGTGCTTGCTTTGTATTGTTTGTTCACATTTTCCAGGTTGACTACTATCTCTGTTCATATTTCACATGGGGAATATACAATGATTTAGTCAACACTGATGCTATATCTTTTGTTCTTCCATTCGCTGGGTAAAGTAATGTTATAAGGGGCTGGTATTCTTGGATTGTGGACAATAAAGTTGTTTCAGTTGGCCTCATTTACATTTACCAAGATGTAAATGGAAGTAGGCTTTCAGGTAAGATTATTTATGGGTCACTTTTGATGGAAGCACAAGATTTGCTAGACGAGATTACGTTGGGAGTAAAGCTATATCTCCAGGGAAAGTAAGTGGAATACTGGAAATATCGTAGCTCCAAGCTGCTACTAGATTATTTCTGTTGGCAAAAGCTCTGTCAATGAAAAAAGGTATTACATCCCTTGTAAATATCGGATGTAGTTTCATGAGGTGTTCAGATCTTCCGATTTTGTGGCTGGACAAATATTTTTTTCTTGCAGAAGCTTCGTACAGGCTAAACATTCAAGATGGTGGCTTCTTGAGAGGGTGACATTATCTGGTAAAATTATGGTGCTTCTATCATGCCACTGTGATTGACTATATGAATAAAATTTGCTAAACAATCAGCA